AATAAATAAACAAACAAATAAAAAATTAAAAACAACACACACACACCAAGAGTGAAGTCATGCTCAGATATCATCTGGGTTGAGGCTTGACTTTGTTCTGGGAAAGTTACTCATTCTCATCTCTCTGTGGATAGTAAAAATTACCTTAATGAGGAGCTACTGTGAGGATTAAATGGCTAGACTTATCCATTTACACAGTGCCTAGGACCCTGCCTTCTGCTTGGCAGCTGCTCAGTGTTGTCATCTCGAGGTATTCAATACATAAGCACTATCTGACTGACTGCACTAACATAGAATAAGTTGCAGAAGATCCATAGGCCACAGGATGAACACTCAGGATTATGGGAAAGTAGCTCATCCTGATCTCAGGACTGCCCTCCACCCCCATCTCTGCCCCCATTCCTTTCATCTGCTTGGGAGGAAGTCTGGGTCCAACCAGGATTCTACACGCCACAGCTGTGCTGGCAGCAGCTGATGGAAATCAGAGTAAAGGCTGGAAGCCCCAGAGAAGAAACCCTCAAAGTGGTTTGTCAGCCTGGAAGCTCCAGGAAGGCAGGTCCAGAGCCGCTTTGTGGACTACCTTCTATTCAGGATCTAGTATATAATAGGTGCTTTATAAAGATTTAATGAATGAATAAATGACTCACTCACCCTGGAGCTCAATCTGGGAAGGTAGGCTAACTCAGCAAAAAAGCCCCACACTGGCTTCTAAGCCTTACTTCCTCATCTATAAAATGGGGACAACAGTATCTATTTTCATAGGTTGACATAAGGATTGAGTGAGTGAACATACAATGTTTAGGACAGAGGAAGCATCTAATCTAGCTGTTTTTTTAGTAGCAGCAGCCATTAAACTGGTTTTTATTTCTTTTTTTTTTTTTTTTTTTGGTTACTGCAGCACTTTTATTTTTCCTTCACAATGACGTGCTGCTGGGGCCTAATGTTCTCACGTAACAGTCGAAAAACAAAATCTGTTCTCATCTCTTTAAAGAATTGAGAACTGCATACAAAAAACCTTACATAAATTAGAACCATGAATATATTTACAGGTGTAAATGCAAACCGCTTCCAACTCAAGGCAAGTAACGGCCCACAGTGTTCTGGCAGGAAAACATCAGCTAAGAAAGGAAACTGGGTCCTATGGCTTTGACTTGCCAACCCTGACAGACCCGCAGGACAGAGACAACTGGTTCAGGAGCCCTTGCCAGCCTCCAGAGAAATCCCAGAACACTCAGCCATGATATATTAATACCCTGCATAGATTGGAGACTGCTGGCCATGCAGACTCACCAAGCCACAGACTTGTCTTCCACAAGCACGTTCTGACCTTACCATGCAGTGACCAAGCCACATGTACTAAGGGTTGAAAGCAAAGATGTGTACAGGGTATTAAACAAATACCAAGGGGAACAGTTAACTTGAATACAAGGTCAAAATCAGCAACAAGTTCTACAATCCCGTGCTGATATCAGATACAAGCTTCAAGGACAATTTCTTTTCGAAGGCTTATTCCAGTTTCGTGAGGCTAGCATGAGGTGTATGCATTTGCCAGGGGCAAATTTATACTTCTGAATTAACCCATGCAGCAAATGCTATGCATCTGCTCGCAGTCCATTTAGAAGCATTTGCAGTGGACGACAGAGGGGCCTGACTTGTACTCCTGCTTGCTAATCCACATCTGCTAGAAGGTGGACAGTGAGGCCAGGATGGAGCCGCTGATCCACATCGAGTACCTGCACTATGAGCTTGATCTTCATGGTGCTGGGTGCCATGGCGTTAATCTCTTTCTGTATCCTGTCGGTGATGCCCGGATACATGGTGGTGCCGCCGGACAGCACCACGTTGGTGTACAGGTCTTTGCGGATGTCCACGTCACACTTCATGATGGAGTTGAACGTGGTCTCGTGGATTCCGCAAGATTCCATACCCAGGAAGGAAGGCTGGAACAGCGCCTCCAGACACTGGAACCGCTTGCTGCCGATGGTGATGACCTGGCCATCGGGCAGCTCGTAGCTCTTCTTCAGGGAGGAGGATGCAGCAGTGGCCATCTCCTGTTCGAAGTCCAGGGTGACAAAAATATGGAACGCTTCACGAATCTGCGTGTCATCCTGGCGCAGGGGCCATGCAAATCTTCTCTGTATTGTTCCAATTTTAGTATATGTGCTGCCGAGGCGAGCACTAAACTGGTTTTTCATGCAGAATTACCAACATCTCTGAGGGGGTAGACAGATCTTTGGGTTCCACTTCCTCCTCTGATCTCTCCTCAAGACAGGTGAGAGTTCCTTGTGCCACATCTACGCCTAGCTCTGCAACCATCAATATACAGTAATACTACGATGGCTAATTGACCTTTACCTCCCTCCTGCTGGAGGTAAGTCCTTTGAAGGTGACATGGTTTGGATCTGTCCCCACCAAATCTCCTGTCAAACTGCAGTCCCCATGTTGGAGGTGGGGCCTGGTGGTGGGATCATGAGGCTAGCTTTCTCATAAATGGTTCAGCACCATCCCTTTGGTGCTGTTCTCGTGGTAGTGAGTTTTCCCAAGATCTGGTTGTTTCAAAGTGTATAGTATCTCCCCCCTCACTCCCTCTTGCTCCTAATCCCGCCATGTGAGATGCCTCGCTCCCCCTCTGCTTTACACCGTTACTGGAAGCTTCCTGAGGTCTCCCCAGAAGCAGAAGCCGCTATGCTTCCCGTATAGCCTGCAGAAGCATGAGTCAATCAAACCTCTTATCTTTACAAATTATCCAGTCTCAAGTATTAGTGCAAGAACGGACTAACACAGAAGGGAACATGAACCGTTTGACAGGAACAGAGCATCTTATTCATCTTGTCTTATGAACACCTGTACACAGATCTGAACAGAAATGGGCTATGAGCTGCTTTTGGCCCAGATGATCAGGCATTGTGGTGCCTCCACCTCACGCTGCTACCACTCTCTGTGGAGGACCATGCCACAAATGGTGTTTTTGAGAATAAGAAAGGCCAAAGAGAGTTTAGGATCACAAGACAGTTTTAAGAAAATCAATACATTTCTTGAGTATCCCTCCCTGTTATTTTCTTTCTTTTTTTTTTTTTTTTTTTTTGAGACGGAGTTTTGCTCTTGTTGCCTAGGCTGGAGTGCAAAGGCACAATTTTGGCTCACCGCAACCTCCACCTCCTAGGATCAAGCGATTCTCCTGCCTCAGCCTCCTGAGTAGCTGAGATTCCAGGCATGCGCCACCACCCCGGCTAATTTTGTATTTTTAGTAGAGATGGGGTTTCTCCATGTTGGTCAGGCTGGTCTTGAACTCCCGACCTCAGGTGATTCGCCTGCCTTGGCCTCCCAAAGTGCTGGGATTACAGGCGTGAGCCACCACACCCGGCCCCTCCCTGTTATTTTCACACTAATATTTTATTTTCTTCACAGCACTAATCACTATCAGGTGCTCTTTTATTAGCTTACTTATTTACTGTCTATCTCCTTCCACTATGACTTAAACTCTCAAAGGTGTAAAGACCATATATCCTTTATTCATCAGTGTATATTCGCATCACCTAGAACTATCTGGGAATACAGGGGTCACTTAGCATATGTGTTAAAAGAACACTGAATGAATTAATGTACACATTTTCCTAAGATTTTATTTCATTATTTGAGACGGAGTTTCACTGTGTTGCCCACGCTGGAGTGCAGTGGTGCAATCTCGGCTCACTGCAAACTCCACTTGCCGGGTTCAGGCAATTCTCCTGCCTTAGCTTCCAGAGTAGCTGGGATTATAGGCACGTGCCACTATGCCCAGCTAATTTATCACCACGTTGGCCAGGCTGGTCTCAAACTCCCGATCCACCTGCCTTGGCCTCCCAAAGTGCTGGGATTACAGGCATGAGCCACGGCGCCTGGCCCAAGATTTTATTTTTAAAGAACAGTTGGATGCTCTTATGTGCGTAAGTATTTGAAAACACAAAATAATTCAAGTATTTTAACATAATTCAAAAACTACGATCTTTTTAGAATCAGCAACACCTAAGGCCCCAAATGATCCCTTCTCCACATCACCACTTGGCTGTTACTGATATCAGGGGAACAAGTCATCCCATCAGGTGAGAGTGGATAAAACATAGGGCAAAGAGCAAGTTAGATCAGAAAACTGAGTTCTTAATGCCTTTGCTTATTGGGGTGCGAACCTGATCAAGACACTTAATGCTACAAGCAGCTCAGCTTCACCATCTGAGAAGATAACCCACCTTAGAAAATGGATGTTTAATTCTGAGAAAATGGATGTTTAAGAGCTTGGCAAACTGTCCAGCACGGTGAGGAGAGGTTATATTTATCAGCTGTCAAGGCTGAAGCAGGAGGGCATATGAGAGCTCCCCATATGAGAGCTCCTCCCAAAAGGCGGCAAGCGGTACCAGAACACCTGCTTCTCCCCTGACAAAGGCTGACGTTATAGAAAGAACTTTGGTCTGTGAGGCAGACAATCTGGGATCTAAACCCGCTTTGCAACTGAGATGGCACGTGAGACAAAGGGTTGGACTTCCAGATCTCTGGGGGCCCTTCCAATGTTGACATCCCAGGATCTTGTCCCAGCCAAACTCCCACTCCTGCTCCCAGACCCAGCAGGATGTCGAATATGGTAAGCGACCAGTAAGCATTTGCTCAATGAGTGAATAAACCAGTGAATTAATAAAAATGTCTCCTCAGATCCGATGAGGGACTCCCTCTTCTACACACTCACAGCTCGAGTCTCCCAGCCACTTGCCCTTTCCTGCTGGCCTACAACTCTCTACCCGGCTACACCAGGTGTATTGAGAGCAGGGAGCGTGTCCCAACGGTGTGCACAAATTGGCACTGCATGGACGGCGGGGTTCTGGTGACTGGGCGAGACGTGCGGGCCAGACCCGAGGAAAACGCTTGCTGCGCGTCGGGGCCGGAGGCTAGCCCGGGCCAGCCGAGGGACACCGCATGGACTCCGGTTCTCCCTGGGCCCTCCTCGTCCCCAGGCGGATGCCGGAAGAGACTCACGTGAGCACCGGGATGGGCGTCCACACCACGCAGTAGGGGAAGCGGCTCCGTTCCACGTCCATGGCGACGCCGCCGGAGCCGTGATATTGCTTCATGTCCGTCTCGGCCGCCGTCGGCGCCTCCACTTCCGCCATCCTGGGCGGGGGTGGCGGCGGCGGCAACAAGAGCGGAGAACCCCCTTCCGCTTCCGCCATGCTGCGCGCGCCCCGCTGCGACTGGCCCCGGCTCTAGTGGCGTCACTTCCGGGAGATGGGTCCGATCCGCTTTGCCTTCCCGCGGGAATCCGAGCCGCGTCCTTCTGGGCCCGGCCAGCCCCGCCCCACTCCGTCTGGGCCTGCCAGCCCCGAGTCTTTGCAGCTTACGCCCCGCGGCTGCAGAAAGGATGCCCTCAGGCAGTTCGCAGTCTAGCGCCGGAGACTTATAAAGAACTCTGTAATTCAGTACGCTGAGGGCTCTTAGGAGGTGTGGTACAGTCGCTATTTATTGAGCACTTCTTAGGTGCCAAGCACTTGACAAGAATTGTTTCTAATCCCCATAAACTGATTAGACATCCAAATTAGGTATTTCCCTTCTGTTACAAGTGAGAAACTGAGGCTCAAGAGGTGAGGTGAGAGGCCACGATTCAAACCCAAGTCTTTTTTTTTGGGGGGGGCGGAATTTTTTGCTCTTGTTGCCCAGGCTGGAATGCAATGGCACGATCTCGGCTCACTGCAACCTCCACCTCCCAGGTGCAGGCGATCCTCCTGCCTCAGCCTCCCGAGTAGCTGGGATTACAGGCGTGCGCTACCACGCCCGGCTAAGTTTTGTATTTTTAGTAGAGGTGGGGTTTCACCATGTTAGCCAGGATGGTCTCGAACTTCTGACCTTGTGATCCGCCCACCTTGGCCTCCCAAAGTGTTGGGATTACAGGCGTGAGTCACCGCGTCCGGCGCAAATCCAAGTCTTATACCTCCCTTGCCCTTTTCATTCTGTGGTCCTCTCACGAGGTAGTGGTAGCGTAATGAGAGACTACAATTGTGTGTGCGCACGTGTGTGTGTGTGTGTATGTATTTTATTGTATATACAGGGAAGACCTGCTGGAAGATAGGATATTATTGAGTCTTGATGTCTGCCATGTGGCATGGGAGTGGGGGTATGGGTGCAGCGGTGCAAAGAAAGGAAGGCCGTGCAGAGCACTATGTACAAGAGTGTGAATACTTACTGGAGTAAATGATAAGCCTTAGATGTGATCCAATCCCTTCATTGTACAAATGGGAAAACGGGCTCAGGAAAGTTAATTGAGATCACACACAACCATACTTACAGAGAAGCCAGGCTCAAATGTTGGAGCCTTTTGGCTTTTTAAAGGATACCAAGACAGACAAAGGAAATGAAGTCTACTGGGGTGGGGAGGGGAAGTGGGGGAGAGTCCAAAGTCAGAAGGAAGACTGCCACTAAAAATCAGGCTTAAAGAAAAAAGAACAAAAAGAGTAATCAGGTAAAGGAAGGTATGGACAAATGCACTCAGGAAGTTAGGAGCTTCCCATTTGGGGAAGGTCCTTCGTCCATTGAATTACCCTCCCTCAATGCTGATCTGTGGAGAGCTTGCTGTCCTGTTTGTAGCACCTAATATTTTCATGTTTTTTTTTGTGGGGGATGTCTGTCTCTGCTATGGAACTCTAAGGTCCTTGACTTCAGTAGCTGGCACAGTTCCTGGTGCAAAGCATATGCCCACTAGATGTTTACTGATTTATTAAATGATTGAATAAATTGATGTTTTATAAAGACCTCACAGATTCACAGGTGTGATAATGATTACGGTGGGTTAGAAAGTGATTATAACCCACTCTAAATTCTTTGAGCACATTTGTACCTCTCCTTGACCCCTGTGCAGTGTGTGATCCTTGAAGGGCAACAACCAGCATCCAGCACAGGGTTTGAAATAGATTAGGTGTGTAGTTTACAGTTGTTGAGAATAAATTACATTACTTCTTGATTCAATCACTGTAGTTATCTAATCTCTTCTGGACCACAGGCTGTGAGGAAGGTCTGTGCCTTAGACATCTCTCTACCATGACTGTCAACCCATAATTCTAGCATAGGGTTGCTGGGTACCCTTTAAACATTTATTGTAGGTATTGATGAATAACCAACCAAAGTAAGTCTCTCAGGACCTGCCATAAGTTTGGTAGTACTAATATACATACCACATTTAATCTGCCAACCTTCAATGGCTTCTCATTGCACTTAGTATGAAACACAAATATCTTACCATGGCTCACAAAGCCCTGCACCATCTGGACCACGCCCCTTCCTTATTTACTATACTACAGCCATCCTGGCCCTTTTTTTCAGTTCCTCTCATGCACTTCTTCATATTCCAGGGACTTGGCACACACTGTTCCCCTCTGCCTGAAATACTACTCCTACCCACTTAAAGTGGCTAGCTTTCATTCTTCCTGTCTCAGATAAAATACTACTTTCTCAGAGAGCCCATCGCTGGCCTCCCAATCTAAATGAGAAAGCCTCTGTTAATCTCCTGTTCTTTTTCTTCATAGCTTCTTTGTAGCTGTGTACTATTTGCCTCCCCCACTTGACTGGAAACTCCGTTTGTCTTGCTCACATGTGTATACCCAATGCCCAGTATAGTGCCTAGCACATGGTATTTGTTTAATCAATATTTGTTAAATTGAATGAAAAGCAAATACTTACAGGCTTGGTATCACATGCTGGTTACAGTCTAAATGCAGGAACCTAGCTTGTTACCTGCTACCTCTTGGTGTCTCAAGTCTTTTTAATGGGCTTGGGTTGGTGGGCACAGTGCTCAGGCAGAGGGTCAGACCACAGAGCCCTGGCTCCTTTCCTAAGGTCCACATCATCCTACCCTTGGCCTAGGCAGCTGCAGAAACAGGGGCATGAGGAGGGCCAGGTACCTGGAGATAGAAGCCAGATCCTCTGGGGCCTGTCTCCCAGGTTTGGCTTGCCCCCCACCACAACCCATCCACAAGATCTTTTTTTTTTTTTTTTTTTGAGACAGAGTCTTGCTCTGTCACCCAGGCTGGAGTGCAGTGGCATGATCTCGGCTCACTGCAACCTCTGCCTCCTGGGTTCAAGCGATTCTCCTGCCTCAGCCTCCCAAGTAGCTGGGACTACAGGCACGCGACATCACACCCAGCTAATTTTTGTATTTTTAGTAGAGATGGGGTTTCACCATGTTGGCCAGGATGGTCTTGATCTTTTGACCTTGTGATCCACCCACCTCAGCCTCCCAAAGTGCTGGGATTACAGGCGTGAGCCACCACGCCCAGCCTTTTTTTTTTTTTTTTTTTAATGATGGATTCATCCCTGCAGAACGCTCCTTCTCACATATACACCTTGGTTCTCTCACCCAATTGTAAGAGTCTCTCTGGCCTGTGCCCTGGACTCCTCTGCTGTTGCTTCCTCATCACCCATAAACAGATGGGAAATCTCCATCAAAGACTAATATTTCCTTCCAGGCTTACAGGATCACAGCAGGGTCCTGGAGGAAGCTCCTGTTATGGCTGAGCTTGGGACAGGATTGATAGGTTTCAGAGCTATCCCTCCCCCAACACACACCCCAACCTAAAATAGGAATGACCATCTGGATCCACTTATGGGTTTGGCTGGGGGAGGGAAGGATGCCAGAGCTGAAACTGTCAAGCTGGGAAACCTTTGAGGGTAAGATGCTGCTTATTTGAAGGGTGAGCTTGGGGCATTTCCTCTCTTGGTGGGTGTCAGAGCACCCCCTCAATTGGCCCCATGTATAAGTCCCCAGGACTCACAAATCTCCTCTCTCAGGCTATCTCGCTACTGGCTTTCAAGGCCCCTCATGATGCCCTCAAATTTTCTTTCCAGATTCATTTCTCACAGTCTCCTTTGGGACTTGCCTGGAGTTAGCCTACTGGCCTGTTTGCCCTTCACAGAACGAGTCCTGCACTTCATACCTCGTGTGTTTGCTCACACCGTTCCCTCATCGGGGACGTCCTTCCTCTCCTCTTCTACACTACTTTCAAGGTTTCAGGCAAATGCTCCCTCTTTGCTCCCAGAGCACGAAGGCTGTGTTTCCACCTATTGAATATTCATGTGTACTTGCATTAGCATTAGCTGTTTACATGTCTGTCGCTCCCAAGAGACTGTGAACTCCTTGAGAAGGGGACTAACTGGATCTATTGGTCCCTGTATCCAACCAGGCAACTGGCAGAGAGGAAGTGCTCAGGTAATGTCACTGGAGTTATTTGTTGACTGTAGATGGTCTCCTTAAGGGCTCTGGGGAAGAATCACCTCAATCCAGGGAAAGAGCCTGAGCCAGGGGCATGCTGCAGTGTACGCAGCATGTGGGAGGGCAGCATCCTCTCTTCTGCTCAGCCCTCTCTGGCCCCTGGAAGCTGGGCCTCTCTCCATTCTGACTCCAAGCCTTCCCATGGTGGGGAGGAGATTAAGGGGACCAACTCAGTGCAAGAAACCATTTCAGAGCAAACCCACTGGCCCTTTAGACATCAGAGTTCACAAAACGACTTCCTTTTCCATTCAATTTTCTGTTTTATTTGGAAATGGAGTCTCCCTTTGTTGCCCTGGCTGGAGTGCAGTGGGGCCATCTTGGGTCACTGCAACCTCTGCCTCATGGGTTCAAGTGATGCTCCTGCCTCAGCCTCCTGAGTAGCTGGGATTACAGGTGCCTGCCATGACGCCCAGCTAATTTTTTTTTTTTTTTTTTGAGATGGAATCTTGCTCTGTTTCCCAGGCTGGAATGCAGTGGTGCTATCTTGGCTCTCTGCAACCTCTGCCTCCCAGGTTTAAGCAATTCTCCTGCCTCAGCCTCCTGAGTAGTTGGTACTATAGGTGTGTGCCACCATACCTACAAATTTTTGTATTTTTTGTAGAGACGGGGTTTCACTGAGTTGGCCAGGCTGGTCTTGAACCCCTGACCTCAGGTGATCTGCCCACCTTGGCCTCCCGAAGTGCTGGGATCACAGGCGTGAGCCACTGTGCCCGGCCCCAGCTAATTTTTGTATTTTTACTAGAGATGGGGTTTCACCATATTAGCCAGACTGGCCTTAACTCCTGACCTCAAGTGATTGTCCACTTTGGCCTCCTAAAGTGCTGGGATTACAGGTGTGAGCCACCAAACCCGGCCTCCAATCCATTTTATAGATGGGCTAAGTTACCCAAGGTTATAGAAAGCACAGCTAGGACCAGGATCTAAGTCTCCCACTTTGGGATGCCCAG